CTGGGAACATCATTATTCAAGAGCTTTGGTGTTCTCCAGGGCTGTAAGTTTTTCCAATCTGTTTGATTTCTCCATATCCCCAATTCTATCTTCTTTACATATTACAAAATTATTCAGAACTACAAATCTTCTGCTGAGACCCTTCTCTGTTTACTATCTTTGCTTTAGGTTCATTGTCATTTTTGTATTTCTCCTGCAATGTCACTAGGATTTGGGGAGGGGTATGAAGTACATGTGGGGCCTCAGGACACTATCTTATCAGTGTTTGCTGAGTGACTTTTCCCATCAAATCTTTCCAGCTAGAGGCTAAATCCAAGCGCTACTGAAAAGCACCGCAGGCCAAATCTGAGTGTGCGGCACTGATGCTACTTGGAGGCTGTCCAGGGAATACCCACTTTGCTGCACAATACTGTACTGCAGATCACGGATACCCTACTCATTTTCTACAATCTTTTTTCCCTCTGTCCTTCAGATTGGATGCCTACGGACTGATCCTCAAGTTCACTGACTCTTCTGTATCTTGAATTTGCTGTTTAAATTATTCATTTAACTTTTTCTCTTAGCTGTTCATTTTGTCAGTTCTATAATATCTACTAGGTTCTTTTTTTTTTTTTTACAGTCTATTTCTCTGCTCAGATTGCTGTTTGCCCATTCATTACAATCATATTTTCCTCTACATTCTGAGTACAGCTTCAATAGCTGTTTTAAAATCCTGTCTACTAATTCCGAAGTCAGGATTATTTTAGTGGTAAATGAAGAGTGACTGCTAATAGGTACAGGGTTTTTTTGATTATCAACATTTTATTATGAAAAAATTCTAAAACTGACTATGGTGATGGTTATTAAAACATTCTACAGAAGAAAATCTTGACTTCTGAAATAACATATTCCCTGTCATCAAGTGTCCTCTGCTAAGTGCTAATAACTTGGCACCAACTCCAACTGCTAGAATTCTCTAAGAAAAAATAATTAACTCCTATCAGACTATGGAGATATAACAACTAAGTATAATGCATACAAATTGTTTAGAACCTGGTTGCTATAAAAAAGTAAGACATTTTGGGAAGAGCAGGAAAAATCTGAATATGAGCTCCTAGACGATAGTAAGGAATAATGACTGATGCTACCAGCCTTGAGAGCAGTGTTTCAGTCATGAGGAGAGTGGGTAGGAGCTGCGTGCTGAAATATTCAGGAGTTAGGTGTCATGAGGTCTACAACCTACTGTCAACTGATTCAGTTAAATACACACACACAGAAGGTAAACACTGCAAAACATTGCAGTGGGTATAACTATACTATTTTTGCAGTATTTCTGTATATTTTAACTTTTCATGACAAAAATGGGGAGAGAAGCTACGTGGTTAAAGAAGAATTTTATTCAGGATTTTCAGCCATTTTATAGTTAAACTCTACATAATATATTTTTATTTTGGCACTGATTAGTAGAATTTCATCCCAAGAATCCTTATCACCTAACATTTTTCCAGCTATCACCTGATTTATCACAAGGTGTCACTCTTTCCATGTTCAAATTAAAAGTCTTGTAAGGGAAAAGGCTCCTATTATCAGTGCTAAACAGAAAATACACTGAACTTCCAAATTAATCTGAAAAACTTGAGGACCTCTTACAATTAGGAAGCAAAATTAGATAAATCCTCTCAGTTCAGAAACAATGAAATACAAACTAGATATAAATGTTAAACTAAAAGTTTTTTAAAACTTTAGATGACAAAGTTGAACTCTGTAACTATCACCAACCCCAAGAAATAGTCCCAGTCAACTACCTTACTATCCAGATGCCTCAGAACATTCAACAACCCTGGGGTCACCCTACGGGTGCTGGGTCACCTAGCCGGAGCTCAGAACTGCCACAGAACATGTTTAAGACTCCTGCAAATGACCCATTTCCTCCTGGCAATAGGTCAAACCTCCCACTGTCCCAGCACTGCACCCACAGCACATCAGGCTCAAGGTTGTACCTGCCTATCAATCCTCTGTCAAGGAATTTAGAGCTCAAAGGAGCAACCTTAGAATCATTAAGCAATGAATCCAACTTAAAATTTTCTAATATTTGAGGAATCTGGAGGAAGAATACATTAGAATTACTTAAATGCACTATTTGGAAATAGAGTTGACCCCTTAACACAGGAGATAGGGGTGAAACCCAGCCCCACCAGTCAAGAACCCATATATAACTTTTGAGTCCCCAAAAACTTAACTATCAATAGGCTATTGTTGACCAAAGCCTCACCAATAATATAAACAGTCAATTAACACATATTTTGTACGTTACACATAGTAAAAGCTGTGTTCTTATTTTATTGTAAGAGAAAAGAAAATGTTTTTCAGATTGTTGCAAATCTCCAAAAATTTTTCCAATACATTTATTGAAAAATACCCATAGTTCAAATACCAGCACAGTTCAAACCTGTGCTGTTCAAGGGTCAGGTTAATTTCAAATTTACAAAAAGGTGCAAAAAAATAGAACAAGAAACACCCATTAACTTTTACTCAGATTTGCCTTATGTTAACAGTTCACCCTTTTGTTTTATTATTTGCTATCTCCCATCCCTGACCGTCTGTCTGCCTCTATCTAGCCCTAATTTTTTCTTGAAACCTTTAAGGATATATACATCATGGTCCTTTACCTCTAAACATTCAGCGTGCGGTTCCTAAGAATAGGGACATTCTCTTACATAAACACAGTAGAGTCATCAACTTCACAAACTTATATACTAACACATTTATCTCACCTATCCATCCACATTCCAACTTTGCCATAACATCCTTATAGCATTTTCTCCTGCAGTACTAGACCTGTCTAGGCACAGCTATTGCATTTAACTGTCATGTCTTCTTAGCCTCCTTTAACCTGAACTTGGCCATAGCCTTTGTCTTTAATAACATTGGCATTTTTGAGGGATATAGCACCACCCACTCCTTCTTAGTAAAATATTCCTCATTTTTTAAGGCAAAAATCTCTTCGACAAACATGAGCAACTTCTTCATGAGCATATCTCCACGGGCAAGGGAAACAAAAGCAAAAGTGAACAAGTGGGACTATATCAAGCTGAAAAGCTTCTGTACAGCAAAGGACACCACCAATAGAACAAAAAGGCATCCTACAGTGTGGGAGAATATATTCATAAATGACAGATCCGATAAAGGGTTGACATCCAAACTATATAAAGAGCTCATGCACCTCAACAAACAAAAAGCAAATAATCTGATTAAAAAATGGACAGAGGAGCTGAACAGACACTTCTCCAAAGAAGAAATTCAGATGGCCAACAGACACATGAAAAGATGCTCCACATCGCTAGTCATCAGAGAAATGCAAATTAAAACCACAATGAGATATCACCTCACACCAGTAACGATCGCCACCATCCAAAAGACAAACAATAACAAATGTTGGCGACGTTGTGGAGAAAGGGGAACCCGCCTACACTGCTGGTGGGAATGTAAATTAGTTCAACCATTGTGGAAAGCAGTATGGAGGTTTCTCAAAAAACTCAAAAGAGAAATACCATTTGACCCAGGAATTCCACTCCTTGGAATTTACCCTAAGAATGCAGCAGCCCAGTTTGAAAAAGATATATGTACCCCTATGTCTATCGCAGCACTATTTACAATAGCCAAGAAATGGAAGCAACCTAAGTGTCCATCAGTAGATGAATGGATAAAGAAGATGTGGTACATATACACAGTGGAATATTATTCAGCTATAGGAAGAAAACAAATCCTACCATTTGCAACAACATGGATGGAGCCAGAGGGTATTATGCTCAGTGAAATACGCCAGGTGGAGAAAGACAAGTACCAAGTGATTTCACTCATCTGTGGAGTATAAGAACAAAGAAAAAAACTGAAGGAACAAAACAGCAGCAGACTCGCAGAACCCAAGAATGGACTAACAGTTACCAAAGGGAAAGGGACTGGGGAGGATGGGTGGCAAGGGAGGGATAAGAGGGGTGGGGGGAAAGAAAGGGGGCACTGTGATTAGCATGTATAATGTGGACAGGGCCACGGGGAGGGCTGTACAACACAGAGAAGACAAGTAGTGATTCTACAAGCATCTTACTACGCTGATGGACAGTGACTGTAATGGGGGACTTGGTGACGGGAGAAGTCTAGTAAACATAATGTTCCTCACATAATTGTAGATTAATGATACCAAAAAAAAATTCCTTATTTTTTATGTAAATAATGCTTATGGTTAAAGTTATGCCTCAGCTAGAATGTAGCCTAGCCCATGTTATGTCCAATATCTGTATGCCTATCATTTATATGATCACCCCTTCAAAGTGTTACCCAAGTTTTGCACTGTATAGTTTCTGGTTGTTCCTTCTTCCACCTCCAACACAGCAACATAATGAATAGTCTGTGGGAAGACATTTTAAAATCAAGCAAATTTCTCTTCCCCATTAAATTCTCTATATAAAAATGATCTGTACTATTTTTGCAACCTTTTTGTAAGTCTGAAATAATTACAGTTTTTTTAAAAAAACTTTCATTGTAAAAAGCAAACAAAGCAACTTAAAAAGTGAGTTTCAATTCTACCAGATCATAAAATCTCCACAGTAGGGAGGAAAATCAGACAAATAAATAAAAACCTGTGCTTTAGGTATAAGGTTATATATATGAAGGACTGGTTTTGTTTCAGTATACTTGCAATTACTAGAAGTAGATAATAAATGGCTGTCCCTGAGACCTAGACAATAACCCCACCAGCTTTTCAGGGAAATGATTTTCCATGATCAAGCACAGCTTTTAAAATAACACTTCCATTTAACAGTTATTCTTTAGGAACGAACCACAGACGACCCACTGATGCATGAAATACACTTTAGCACATGCACATTTCTGCCGGCCACCGTGCTGCTGCCGTCAGCTACTACTTAATCAGAATTACTGATTTCTATTTGTTACCGAGGCAGACTATTCCCACCTGTTAAAGTGGATAGGACAAAAGGAATGGGGAGCTCCCCCCCACTTACTCTCTAGATCAGAAATAATGAGGTTGTCATGAAGTTTCACGGCTCGGTGTTGTTCAACTTCGTCCTCAAGTTCAAAGATGGTTTCTTTCATGTCGCTCCTTTCTGTCTCTTTTTCTTCCAGCTCTGATCTTAATTTTTCTAATGTCATATTCAAATCTTCTATTTGTTTCTTAGCTTCTTCTTGAAAGGCCCGGTATTCATCTTCTACCTACATAAAATTGATTGTCAGATTAGAAAAGTAAGAGCTGCTCTAAAATAAGTTCTGGAATGGAGGCCTACACACACTGTTTCAAGTGGAAGGTGAGTGTGAGTTGCTATGCATGTACTAAAACAACTTGTTGAAATAGCTTGTTTAAAAAGATGAAAAAGCAGGGTAAAATAATATAGGATTTAATGTGACATGCTTAAGCATAATTTGCTACATCACTGAATGAAATTATATTGACATTTAACTTAACTAGATTATTTATGAGGGAATAAATTTCCTTTTGGAAATTTTCTCCTCTTTCAAGTTTGGACTGAAGGCATGCAACTGATTAATGATTAACACGCTCTCCCACACACAAAAAACAATTTGTGAGAGTTTCGATATCAAGTTTTTTAAAAAAGGGAAACAAAAAATTTCTCAAAGATTGCCAATGCAAAAGCTTTAATTCATAGTGCCCCCAGCATATATGCTCCAACAAATAGCACATATCATAAATTGTACCTCTAAAAGTCATCACTAAAAAATTAAGGCCTAGATTATTCAAATTTTGGCCAAAGATACACTGTTTCTACTTGAGAAATCACTGCACTAAAATAGGAAATAAAATATAAGCTGGAATAATTAGGTATCTCAGGCAATAAACAGTACATCAGCAATCATGTGGGAGACACAGCCCTGGCCTGAACGCCAGCTACTCTGGGCTGCAGTTCCAACTGAGTCCTTATTATTATGCTGTGTGTAAAACAAGGTGACTGTACCAACTGTATCTAAGGTCCCTGCCAGCAACAACCCACGGGCCTCTAAGCAGTAGGAGCTTCCACACTCCAAAAACATTTTTAACATACGACGTAACTGTAATTGAAAAACTACCACCACAATAGGATAAGAAGTGGCAGACACTGCTGACCCAACACACTGGAATACTGGCTTTCTAGCTTTCTTATGCCAAAATATACCAGAGATGGGGATCTAAAATTGTGTGCCACGCTCCCCTGGGTATACCCAGAACAAGGGACAAATTCTGTTGCTGGCTGTACTCTAGCCCCATCCTCTCACAGCACGGAAAATGAAAATGAGTGGAAATGACATTATTATAAGAATATTTTTCACTCTATCCCACTAAAAGAAAAGCATTTCAAGATCTAAAGAACATCGGCCTAAAAAAAAGCCAACGACACACCACACAAGTGACGCTGGCTCTCAGTAGGTATGCTGTGTACTGCGGCTACGTACTGTTGATCCAGGGCATTTTATCCACTTAAGTAGCAGTACCTTTGCAATGGCGTCCTGCAATCGATTGGCATCATTTCGGGTGTGCGCCAGATCTTCCTGCAGGCTACTAGCCAAAGTCTCCGCTTTTTCTTTGTCCAGCCTGACACTCTCCAGGAGATCCTGGATATCAGACTTGTCTCCAGAGTTATGAATAGAATACAGCTCTGCCACCTTCTGCTTTTCATTCTCCAGCTGGGCCTTCAGGCGATTCATTTCTATCTGGTCACTGGCCACGGTGGCTTTGTACTCCTCTAATGTGGCTGCCAAGGCTCCTTTCCCCTTCTGCTCAGACTCAATAATTCGCTCCATATGGTGATTGCGTTCTTTGAGTGCCCCTATCATTTCTTGAGCTTCCTTGTTGTCTTGTTCTGCCATCTTCAAAGTATTGCTCAAGTGCTGCTGGACGCCAAGAAGCTGCTCTCGTTCAAAACGGGCATTCTCAGCTAGATCCATATAACGTTGTTCCAGTTCCAAATAGCGCCCACTCTTCACATCCTCATCTATGACATAAGAAATGTGATGTTCATCTAGAAGGGAGCGGAAATACTCGATCTGTCGGCTGAAGTGTTCTAACTTGTCACTTTGCTGACACAGAGACTCCATAAGAATAACCTTCTCCTCCCCAAGCCTTTCATTTTCGCTATTCAGCTCCTGGGTAATCTGCTGTAAGTCAGCTAGCTCTTGCAGAGTTGCCTGAAGTTCCTCGCTCGTGCTGTGTTGGTTCTCTTCCATCTGATGTATCCGTTCAGTCAAGCACGCAACAGACACTTCGCTGGCATTCCCACTGCTCCCCTTCCGAGAGCGCTCTATGCTCGGAATGCCTTCTGACTCGGAGGACGACGGTGCATCTAGCGCGTCGTCGCTGGATGTGAGGGGCTGGTACACCTCACTGCACTCACTGTCTAAATTGTCCATGGAGTTACTGTGCTGATGGTCCATGAGGGTGTTTTCATCTTGACTCAAGAGATCCTCCACTGACCCCGGGGCAGAGCCTTCTACTGAAGAAGTCAGAGTCCCTCCTCCATCACTCTGGTTACCAGGAGTGATTTCTGGGCTCAGGGACTGATAGCCAAACAGTTTTTCAGAATTGTCTAGCCTCTGCTCTAGGGAAAAGCCCAATGCATTCAACCTGTCCTTTAACATTCTGTTTTCATTTTTCAGCTGGTTGAGCTCTTCACGGATGGCAGTATTCTGTTCCTGTAACTGCAATAAAGTGGACTCAACATCCGTTGGCTGGTGAGCAATAATGGCTTCCTTCTCCTCAGATTTTTCATCTCCCTCGGAAGGATCCTCATTAATGCCCAGCTGAGCACGCATGTCTCGGAGTTCATTTCTCAAATGCAAAATTTCCACATCTTTGGTTTTTGCCAGTGTGAGAAGATCTTTCACTTTGGCCTCCAAAGCAGCTTTGTCACTGATCTGATTGTCTGACTTAGACTTGCTCATGCGAACATCACATTCTGTGGTAGTACGACTGCGGGAACGTTTAGCCAGTGCCAGGTCATTAGGCCCCTGACCTGCAGAAGGTAGTTTTTTGCTCTGGTTTAGTCGTGTGCGTTCCCGTAATCTTTCTCTAGTAGAACTGGATTCTTTATTGCCTGTAGAAGTGCTCCGCTTGGTTGAAGAACTTGTGCCTACATGTTTAAAACAAAGAATTTAAGGCAAAATATTAGCAATAAAAAGGCACATAGTTTATGCCCAGGATCTAATGAAATGAAATCTACAAATCTACATTGATTTTGACCTATATTAATCTTGCCTTAGAGTCTGGTTACTGTAAAATTCAGTTTTCCCAAAACCAGAAGATCCTTAATCTTTGAATTATTAAGGAAAAAGAAATAATACACTGAATTATACACTTTAAAAGAGTGAATTTTATGGAATGTGAATTACATATATAAAGTCGCTAAATTAAAAAAAGTTATACACATTAACTTGAATCCTAAACCATGGCTTTAGGCGGTGGCAAGGGGCATAGTATTCTAGGGTAAGCTAGATGAGGACAACTTCGGTCAGCCAGTTGGGTGGCAAGCTAACTGCAGAAACAGGTGGTAAAGGAAGATCACACGTGAGCAAGCAGAGAAAGGCAGCTTCGGGACAAACCAAAAATCTAAGCTACTTAAACTCAAAAAATGTGATCAAAGTAAATGCAAAACATCTGTCACACCACAGAAAATGATACGAATAGTACCAATAACAATAATTATAATAGTACATAACATGTACTTTGCACTTACTACACGTGTACACACATATTAACACCTCATATATGTTAAGTTATACAAGTCTCATTATTACCATCCTGTTTTACAAATGAAGAAATTCACAGAGAAATGTCTAACAATTTACCAACATCCCACAGGTAATCAATGGATGAGCCAAGATTCAATTGCAGGCAGGCAGCCTGGCTCCGGAAACTCCAACTTAATCAGCGTGTATGCTGCTTCTCTAGATGCTAGAGAATGATGGCGCACAACGTCACAGAACGGTGAGTGCTAGATCAAAAGTGCTGCACAAATCACACTATTATTTAACTGCTAAAATTCTAAATCTGTGAAAATAACTGACACGATCATATATTTAATATAAAAAGAACAGGAACATGTTTAAATACTCATCAACACTTACGAAATAATTAACTTTTTCACTTTGAAAAATAAGATCTAGAATGGATAAAGATGTGGTACATATACACAATGGAATACTATTCAGTCATAAGAAGAAAACAAATCCTACCATTTACAACAACATGGATGGAGCTGGAGGGTATTATGCTCAGTGAAATAAGCCAGGTGGAGAAAGACAAGTACCAAATGATTCCCCTCATTTGTGGAGTGTAACAACGAAGCAAAACTGAAGGAACAAAACAGCAGCAGACTCACAGACTCCATGAAGGGACGAGTGGTTACCAAAGGGGGTGGGTGGGGAGGGAGGGAGAAGGGGATTGAGGGGCACTATGATAGGCACACATGGGATGGGGGTGTCACAGGGAAGGAAGTGTAGCTCAGAGAAGACAAGTAATGCCTCTGTGGCATCTTACTACACTGATGGATAGTGACTGCAACGGGGTATGGGGGGAACTTGATAATACGGGTGAATGTAGTAAGCACAATGTTTTTCATATGAAACCTTCATAAGAGTGTATATCAATGATACCTTAATTTAAAAAAAAGTAAGAAAAGAAAAATAAGATCTAGACCTAATCAATTTAAGTTATTTTTTAAAGAGCCTACTTACTGGCTCTTCATGTAGCAGGCATCGGGCTATAGGGAAAGTAGGGAGAGAAAGGTCTTTGTAATGTAGGAAGACAACTGCTAATTTTGCCAGGGATCAGGTGTAGAACAGCGGCGGGAATTCAGGCTGACCACAGGACACACATGGACGAGGAAGTACCAGTGAGCAGGGCCAAGAAAGGTCACAACTGGGGAAGGCTTCTACAGGGCCCTGGACTCCGAGGAGACTCAGTGAGGCACAGCAATAAATGTTCAGTATATGTCTTGAGCAGGGAAGAAACATGAAGAAAGAGAATTTTTATGGCAATTCATCTGGAGGACACTAAGTGAAGCATCTGGAGGAGGAGGGGGAGGAGCGGTGAGGGGGCAGGGTGGGCTAGCAGATCACCCCTCCCTGCATTTGGGGAGTAAGACACAGATCTGCCCAAGAGCAAAGAAGGGGCAGTGAGTCTGTGACAGACTCCAAGGCAGAAGGAACAGGATCAGGAGGAACCGAATGCTAATGGAGGCCAACAGCAGGAAAGGATGGCGTGATCTTCCCTGCTAATATTGATGATCTCCCCCATGTATGTGAATGGTACCATCACCCTTACCTTAACCTAGAGCCATTCTAGGAAAGAAAAGCTCTGTGCATGTCTGAAAGACAAAGGGAAAGGAGCCAGAAATGAGGGAAGAGACTAGCAATGTCCCAAAAGGAAAGAAGAGATAAAGAATCAAGAAGAAAGGAAGAGACGGAACATGAAGCGAAGCTCCCCTCGTGACGAGTGGGTGGACAGGGGGACCTGAGGTGGAGACGAGCAAACTGGTCTCGGGGAAGTCATCGGGGTCATCGGGAGTTAGTAAAGGCGGAGCAGATGAACTGAAGAATTAAGGATGTTATGAGCTAAACTGTATCCTCAGATTCATCTGCTGAAGCCAAAAGCCCCAGTACCTCAGAATGTGGACCGTATTTGGAGACAGAGTAATTAACTTAAAGAAGTAATTAAGGTGACATGGGGTTGTTAGGGTGGCCCTGATCCGATGACTGGTGTCCTTATAAGAAGAGGAGATTAGGACACAGAGATAGGGATGACCATGTGAGGATACAGGGAGAAGGCTGCCATCGACAAACCAAGCCTCAGAAGAAACCAAACCTGACAACAGCTTGATCTCAGACTTCCAGCCTCCAGAATAGTGAGAAACTAGACACCTGTTGTTTGAGCCACTTGGTCTGCGGTGTTTTGTTATGGCAGCCCTAGCAAACTAATACATAAGTACAACGCTATACTGGAGCCACTGATCCAAGGAGGTGATAACTGAACCCAGCCTTGTGAGGGCAGGTAGCACTGGTCAGCAAGGCACCAAGGGTGAGAACACAGGGGTCTCCCCCAGTGAACTCTAAAGGCTGGAAACAGAAAGGGATACCGATAGTATCGAGTCTTTCGTTGCCTTCTAACCACACAACAGTACATTAAATTTTCTTCTGACCACACAAGCTGGAGTGTTAAATGTGGTGATGACCCGAAGCTTGACAGTAAAAGACCTAAAGTTTAGCCCATGCTCCATTACCAGTTTTGCAGCCTGGTACAAAATGGGTACCCAATAAATATTTACTAAGCAAACAAATGCATGACCTTGGGCAAGATATTTAAGCTTTCTAACCATAGCTTTCTCATTTCTAAAATGATGATAATGATAGTTTCTACCTCATAGTAAGGATAAATTGGAATAATGACTATAAAACACAAAGTAAGGGCTTACTTGGTTCCTCCTGGTGATCATAACACACAAGTATTATAATTAAAAGCGTGGCATGATCACTCAAATGTAAGTTGGTCACAGGGAAGGTCGTATAGCACAGAGAAAACAGTTAATGATTCTGTAACATCTTACTATGTTGATAGTGACTGCACTAGAAGGGGTGAGGATTTATTAATATGGGCAACTGTTGAACCCCTCTGTTGTATAACTGAAACCTACATAAGATTGTATATCAATGATACTTTAATTAAAAAAATAAAAAGTGGGGCATGATCTGGGATGGGATGGAGAATCCACAGAAGGTCAAAGCAGGAGAGAGGACACAGGCGAACCTGGGCTGGGAAAAAGTCTAATACACAAGAAGGGTTAACAGGCTAAATACAATAAATACGATTAAAGAAGGCCTACTACAATTTTTTTTATTAAGGTATTATTGATATACATTCTCCTGAAGGTTTCACATGAAAAACCAATGTGGTTATTACATTTACCCATATTATCATGTCCTCCCCATACCCCACACTGCAGTCACTGCCCATCAGTGTCGTAAGATGCCACAAAGTCACAATTTGCCTCCTCTGAGCTACACTGTCTTCCCCATGATCCCCCCCACACCATGTGTGCCAATCATAATACCCCTCAATCCCCTTCTCCTTCCCTCCCCATCCGCCTTCCCCCACCCCTCCCTTTTGGTAACCGCTAGTCCCTTCTTGGAGTCTGTGAGTCTGTTGCTGTTTCGTTCCTTCAGTTTTGCTTCATTGTTATACTCCACAAATGAGGGAAATCATTTGGTACTTGTCTTTTTCCACCTGGCTTATTTCACTGAGCGTAATGTCCTCCAGCTCCATCCATGTTGCAAATGGCAAGATTTGTTTCTTTCTTATGACTGAATAGCATTCCGTTGTGTATATGTACCACCTCTTCTTTATCCATTCATCTACTGACGGACACTTCGGTTGCTTCCATATCTTGGCTATTGTAAATAGTGCTGTGGTAAACATAGGGGTGCATATGTCTTTTTGAATCTGAGAAATTACATTCTTTGGGTAAATTCCTAGGAGTGGAATTCCTGGGTGTATTCCTATTTTTAGTTTTTTGAGGAACCTCCATATTGCTTTCCACAATGGTTGAACTAGCTTATATTCCCACCACTAGTGTAGGAAGGTTCCCCTTTCTCTGCATCCTGGCCAGCACTGTTGTTTGTAGTCTTTTCGATGCTGGCCATCCTAACTGGTGTGAGGTGATATCTCATTGTGGTTTTTCTTTGCATTTCACTGATAATTAGTGATGTGGAGCATCTTTTCATGTGCCTGTTGGCCATCTGGATTTCTTCTTTAGAGAATTGTCTGTTCATATCCTCTGCCCATTTCTTAATTGGGTTATTTGCTTTTTGGGTGTTGAGGCGTGTGAGTTCTTTATATATTTTGGATGTTAACCCCTTGTCAGATATGTCATTTACAAATATATTCTCCCATACTGTAGGATGCCCTTTTGCTCTGTTGATGGTGTCCTTTGCTGTACAGAAGCTTTTTAGTTTGAGGTAGTCCGATGTGTTCATTTTTGCTTTTGTTTCCTTTGCTCAAGGAGATGCATTCAGGAAAAAGTTGCTCATGTTTATATTCAGGAGATGTCTGCCTATCTTGCCTTCTAAGAGTTGTATA